CTGGTGAAGGTGGGAAAGAAATGTTTCTAAGGCCAGTTTCAATCATTGGAGGAAGGGAAAAGAAGCAAATATTTGAGTTTCATAGGACAATGAAGTGGTTAATGTACACTATCTAAGTCTCTAAGCTTGTAATATTAATTTGTATTTTAGCTAATAATTTCCGAAAATTCTACTTCACTGGAATGTTTAAATATGGGTATTTCTAGTAATTGGTTGACGTGGATATTTATCAAAATTACATTTCTTATGAATCTTTGAGAAAGGAAAGAAACAGCTTTCTAATGATTTTCACTTTATAGAAGAACTTTCTATAGTTTCCAGAGCAGTTCTAGCTAAGTGGGCATTTAAATAACTGGAATTGTTATTTTGGGGAGAATGTCATGTAAAGCATTAAGTGATGAATTGGGAGCATCAGAAGAATTTGTTTGCACTAAATCTCCACATTATGATTTTTTCTTGGTATTCTTTGAGTGATTCAGTACTTAAGACACAATAACACGCCGAACAAATACTAATTCAGAAGTCAAACAACAAAAATCAGCATTATATTTTCAAATTTTCACAGAACTAGTTTCGATGGTTTTACCAAACCACCATCCTCAGCTGCAAAAGTGAACAAGATAGGATATAATGATCAAATAAGATAAAGTCTGGACAGAAAATAAGCTAGGGGTGCCATCTGTTGATGAAACCAGAACTAAAATATAATTTCTTTAAAGGCCTATGGCAAAGATGGATTGGAATTAGGATCGTTAACTAGAACAGAAAGATTTATTTGAACATGAAATGCCTCTAGAAAATCCAGTTTTACAATGAAAGATGTTTTTTGAATAATTTTGGCAGCAGAAAAATTGAAAGTGTGATTTTCGGACCAACAATGTTGGGCAACAGAAGACTTCTGTGTTTGTTTTTTTTTCTAACATATGCCTCATGTTCCTTGACACGAAATTTTAATGCTCTCTTAGTTTGGCCAATGTAAATTAAACCACAGTGGAAAGGAATCCTATAAATGTCCCAGGAATTCATATCCGGAATGGGGTCCCCTTGAGTATGGAACTCGAAATTTTATTGATGGGAGAATAAACAACCCGAAAGTTAAATTTCTGCAAAATATGTGCAACTTTATAGCTAATTGATGGAAAGAAGGGAATGACAACAGAATTTTTATAATCTCCTAAAACATGAGTGTGCTTTTTAGTGTGTTGAGATGAGAATTTTTTAACTGCTTGATGTTGGGTGAAAAGCCCCTGTCAAATAGCTATTGCTTTTAAATAATTTAGTTCTTCATCAAGGGATAGTTTGAAGGAGCAAACTTGAAGAGCACGGAAAACATAGGAATAAAATGAAGCTAACTTTTGTTTAGTCGGAGGACATGATTTAAAGTGTGGTGGAAAGCAAACCGATGAAGATTTACGGTAAACCATAGTACAGTCAAAAGTCGTTAATTCGGACACCCATAATCCGGAATGATCTATAATCCGGACCTTAAAGCTACAAACTTTCTGTGCATGTGTCACGTTGACGCATGCGCGTAAGGCCTTTACGGCTGCGAATATGCGTGTGCGCATGCGTATAATACGTTTACACATGCGCGTTTAATGTATAACGGACTGTATAAGCTAAGCTAAAATTATCTAATTCAGTTAATGTTGCAGATTGCGTTGTTCCTTAATCTTCGAATTGAATCCGGCTTATTATTTTTTGCAGACTGTTAGAGCAATTTTATAAACTTTATCAAATAGAATTTCCGATATACAGGGTGCTGAAAAGTCTTTCCCTGATTACATAAGTTGATAACTCAGGCTAGAAGTAAGATACAAATATGAAACTGGTGTCTAATTGCTTACATACTATCAAAGTTTTTTTTCACACATCGGTAAACTTCCACATGAGCACCCTTGGTAGCACGTAGCACATCTAGGCAATATTCAATTTCCGTCTACACATTAGCCAACTTCACTGGAACCACAAAATGCTCACATTATGGGATTCACTACTCCACTGACAAAAAAGGTCACTTCGTCGGAAAAGGCAATTCGTCTGAGATAACCATCATCGTCCTCAATACGTGATAGCATTTCGACCGCAAAGTCATATCGACGTGTACTGTCATTGGGCAACAAGGCCTGAACGATTTGCACTTTGTATGCACAAAACAATAAACATTTGTGTAAAATGTCATGGAGAGAGCTTTTTGGTATCTGTAATTCACGTGAGGCCCTGCGCACCGATTTCTTTGGACTTCGCAGAAAAGACTGCCTCACAGCTTCCCTGTCTGCTGAGGTTCTTGGTCGACCAGACCTCGGAAGGTCAGCAACCGATCCTGTGTTCTTGAACTTCTCATACCACGCTTTAATGCTCTTGACATCAGGTGGATTCCTTCCAAATGTTGTCTGGAAGTGTCTCTGCACTGTGGTTGATGATCGTGTCTCATGGTACCACAGGACACACTGTGCCTTCTCCTGATTGGTTAACATGGCTTCTTGGGCACTGCACCTCATCCACTACTTACGTACTGCGAACCTAAAACAGAAAAAAAATTTGATAGTTTGTAAACAATTTGACTTAAGTTTCATATTTGTATCTTACTTCCAGCCTGAGTTATAAATTTATGTAATCATTGAAAGACTTTTCGGATACCCTGTATATTTACTAATATGTAAAGGATCTACAAAGCGTAAGTATGTTTCGAAATTCGAAATCTGTTTATCAATTTCACGCTGCTCTGCGGGGGGGGGACGCTGCGGCGCGCAGTAAATTGGAAGTTGATCTGTCAGCATTATCCTTATCTTCAGGGCAGATGTTTTTATTTTATTTGGCTTATAATTCCTTACTAAATGTAGTATTTCATCTCAATGTACTCCGTCTTTGATATGATTTAAATCAAGTTCCTCGTCATTATAATTCGCTTCCGACAGTGAAGAAAGTGACAGAGAGGTTATTGAAAATAAAAACGTTTCGATTGACAAATTAGTCGGTATTCTCGACACAGCAATTATAGGACTTGAACAGCGGAACTTTGTAACTGAACAAAAAATTGTGTCTGTTTACAGAATTAAAGAGAAAGTATTATCACATAAAACGAAGCAACTTAAACAACTTACATTGAAAGAAATGTTTAATAAAGTAAAATAAATATTAAGCTTTTTCTTTTTGTAAATTTTGATACCCTTTAAATCATAATTGTTCTTTATTTCATAAATTACGGTTTCATATTTTTAATTTTGTAATTTCTGCATGCCATCTTACCAGATTTAAATTAATGATCTATAATCCGGAAAAATCGATAATGCGGAATCGCCGAAGTCCCAATGAGTCCGGATTAATGACTTTTGACTGTACTGAAGTTGGATGTGTTATGTGTGACCAGAATGTCGAGAAATGGAAGAGAATTGCAAGTCTCAAGTTCAAAAGTGAACTGAATAGCAGGATCAATAAAATTCATTGTTGAAAGAATTTTATTTAAATCATCTTTATTACCTTCAAACAGGGTAAAAGTTTCGTCTGTGTAGCGGAATCATACCGGAAGTTTAAAGTTTCAAACAATTTTTATTCATAATAATGCATGTAGATATCAGACAGGATGCAACTAAGGGGCTTCCCATGGCTAATCCTCAGTTACTTGTAATATTTATTTTGGAAAACAAAATGTGTTTGTTTCAGAGTTGAGTGAGGGAAATTAGCTCATCAATTTCGATGCAAGAGAAATTAAATTCGCGAAGTCTGGTTTCTAGACATCTTAATGCACCACTCCAGTAAAGGGTCAGGCAGTTAAAAATTAATCAGGGTATAATTAATCATAATTAAGGGTGGGAAGCATATCAGATATTATTTGTTGTACAAGTTTGATAGAGGCTGTACCCAGCCCTAGCATGACGAATCATCCATCAAGTGTATAGAAAGGATATGTTTGGCTATGGCATGTTTTACTGAGTTTGAAAATTCAGAGATGGAGACAGAGACTATAAAAGTGACCACATTCTGGATGTTCGTTAGTTGTTTCTGAGCAGATAACTGGAGCAAACCATATTGAATGTCTCCTGTCAAATGGTGAGGAATTAGTGTGTTCATGAGATGCTTACTATTTAAGGCATGTTCAGCACACTTAGACTTAAAATTTTCTTACTTTAAAATGGTTTTGTTCTTTCAGAGACTTCTCGTAACATGTAACACATTTTATGTATAATGGTGATACTCTTTTTCTGTAGGATTCAGAGAGGAAATTACGTTTGTAAAGAAAAAGAAACCATACTTGTAAAATCAGACCCAGAACTAAGAAAAATAAATCAGGATATTCATTGTATCTAAATCTCTGATACAATGCAAGCTTCTTAAGTATTTGCTCATTATGAAAGATGACATGACATAATTTTCTAATCTGTCTTTAATACTTACCTGTATAGCTTCTTTTCAGATTGAAGCAAAATAATAATTTTCTCTAACATGAAATAAAAGACTGTTAGGGATTTCCAAACTAGGAAAGGAATGTTTTGTTCTTAATAGCAATCATAAAAGTGACTATGCTACTTTCATGTTAATGTGTTATTAGATGTAAGAAGTGATGAAAAAAAGGAGGGAAATAAAAGCAATAATGTCATTTAAGTATTTTTTTTTTCAGAGTTTGTTACCTTGAACTGATGTAATCGTTGCAACGGCCAAACTTATGGACCATTACTTGTATTCAGTAGTTCACTTGATTGTTAGGCTGAGTAAATTGCTCAAAACATTGTGATTATTATAAATGACCATGATGCCTTTAATCATATTTTAAGTTTGTATATATGAAATTTTGCAGATTTTATGTTGCTTGACATGCAAAATTTTAAGCTTGTGTTGCATGTGTTGTGTAAATAAAGAAATAATAATAATAATAAAAAATAAGTCATATCCTATTTTAAGGCATGTTCTGACTTACATGAATTTTGTAATTGTGAAATGCAGATGCAAATAAATGTTTAAAAAACTGTTTTCTAAATATTCACTAATCTTTTATTTTTCAGTACTCTGAAATTAAAGATAAACTTTATGTGTCCAAAGATACTCCTTGCCCAATCAATTTTTCTACAAATACTGTGCTACATGGTGCATTCATTCGAGCAATGGCCTTATTCAGCTCTCCAGACAATGCAAATAATATTGTAACACGCTGTGTAACTCATTCAATGGAAGAGATATCAAAAGGTATAATGTTACTCTATTTAAATTTTAGAGTACTCTTTTAGCTTTTTATATTAATTAATCAAATTTGAAGTCATTTTTTACATATAGGTAATATTATATTTAAGTTGCATTAATTATTGTGGTTTTATCCTTTGAACAATTAGTGCGAGTTTTATTATCATTTTAAAACTTTTCTTTAAATTGTTGATGGAGATAAATTTTATGTCCTTCCAAAGTGCCGAACTAAAAATGCCAAACATTTTATGCAAAATAATATTATAAAGTACTTACACTGGTTGATTAATATTTATAAACTAAAAAACGTAAAGACACATTTAGCTGTCTTTGATATGCAAGGACATTCCAGTTACTAAATATAATGCAGAGTGTAATGCAATTGCGTTGCTACGCTACCAACATAATTCCACTAAGAAATGTAAATTACCGCAGATTATTCACAAAGAATATCCACAGACGATGCTTGCGCTTAAAAATGTTTTTCAGTTATTCTGTAAGTTTTGACTAATAAAAGTTTGTTGTTCGTTCGAAAATAGTGAGAGTTCTTTAAAACATCATTACAGACATATGCAAAAATAAATATCTGGTAGTCGCTGGGATCGAAAGGTGAAATCAGTGTTTATTTAAAAGAAAAGAAAATGCAGTACTTCTAAGTATAAGTTTTAATGAATACTGTGTCACTTTGTATGAAAATGTTGCATCTTATTATTGAAATTCAACTAATAGAACGATATTCTAAGTTTAAGCTTTTGGATTAAAACGTCAAAATATTTAATGTTCTTTTAAAATTTGAGCTCTTGTATTAGAATGGCAAATTTATTATGTTAATATTAGAATATTTATATTATAAAAATTGAGCTCTTGTATTAGAGTAAGATATAAACTTAGCTGTAAAAAGCGAAAACAGTGCTTTTATCAACATTAAAAAAACTCCTGAAAAATCTTGGAGAAATTATGCATATGGACTTACTTTAGTTATTTTTTGGAGTGGATTGCCGATTTAGAAATGAAAAATTTTCTGAATTCAGAGTTTGAAAGATTTAATAGTTACCAAGCAACTTAAATATACGGTTCCCATGGAAGGATCATTTTCTCGACCAATGGATGAAACTCCATATGAGCTAGCAGAAAAATTAGACGAGTACGAGAGTATTAAACAGAGCTTTAACCGGGAAAATCCTAGAAAACAAGGTTTGAAACTTCAAGAAAGTTATCAAAACGTGAACAAAATGCAAAGTGGTTACCATAATAGACATAATCCTGAAAAGATCTCAAAAGATTTTAATCCTAAACCTATAATTAGGACAAAATGGTGCAACTTTGGATTTAATTTGCCAAAAGTATGTAGAGCCTTCCATTATAAGGGTGAGACTGTGGATACGAACACCTCTGGAAGAACATCCAGTGTGCTTACCTGTGGCTGAGGTAGAACTTGAATGTGATCTTGGTCATATAATAACAAAGGCTGTAGTCTTAAAAGATTCATTAGATCAAGGAAGGTATCTTGTAGATAACAAAACCACTGCATTATTTGAAGAAGCAAAACTAGATGAAGAAGTTCAAATTCATATGATAAACGCCATACAAACTCGTGTTCAAATGACGACTAAAAGAAACAGAAAATCTGATTCATCGTTGAAATTCTTTTCTATCAAAAGTTATTAAATCATGTTTGATATGGTTAATATAATTTAAAATTACTGCACATCTTTATTTATGGCACTATAACTGCTGAAAAATATTAAAATGAATTTTTCATCCTTATGAAGACTTTCAGAGAAGCAATAGTTTACTTTTTTCCTAGGGGATAATAAGTAGAATAGTAATTTTAAGAGATTTCCTGATATTTCATGTGCTCTGCAGCTGTCAAGTATATCAAAAAATGTAAGATTTTTTATATTATTTTTTAAATATCTGTTTAAAATGGTAAATTTTTTAAATATTAAAATAACTTTTTTTGCTTCCTTCCACTAGAAATTATGTGAAAAGTCCACTGGAGTAATTCTATTCTAAAGACTTAATTTCACGTTGTGGTGCTGAATACTGTACTGAAACTTAACTGATTTATGAATTTAAGTATCTGTTTTTAAAAAGTGTAATATAATGCCTATTAAATTATGTTCTATTTATTTTTGTTCTTACAACTTGGCAAGTAGGGATTTCCCTTTTTTTTGGGGGGGGAGAGCAAGTCCTGCACCTCAGTATTACATTTTGCCATATCCTTCCACTATAAAAGTTTAATGTAGGGATACTTAATACTCATGTTTTGCATTACATTATAGTATCTTGGAAGTCAAAGAAATTGACTGGGTGTCATAGTCTGCAGATTTAAATCTTACTGAACATGAGTAAGATGCACTGAAATGATTATTAACATTTATGCTTCATCATATGATCAATGGGAATGATTTGTATACTTCTGCATAATCTAATATGTGGCCCTCAGGGTATCACTTTTTGTGAGCATGAGTGTGGCAATCCTGAGGTACCCTAACCCTTCAAGGGATCATCTTCTTGGTGAGTGGTGTCCCATCCGTCGCCCCTGATCATCCCCTATTCCGTCTCACGCTCTTACCTGAACTTATTTCCATTTCCTTGCCCTTCTTCCGTTATGGTTTTTATCTTAGGAGGTTGGGGTTCGTCATAGATTACTATTACAGCTCTTGTATTTGGCTTCAAGTGGCGAGAAAACTACCCATGTGTTTGCCGTACATGGAGAACCAAGTTGCTGGAGGGGGTGCCTTTCAGTTGAGGGTGATTACTGTCCCCGACACGCTGCTCTTGGGCTCTGCGTTCAGCTAAACGGAGGGCACCTTGTCGTCCTCGAGGGTGTCAGTCGGCGGTCACGGGTCCTTGTCTCAGTGAGCTTGGGGTAAGCCTCAGTACCGCTTCGTTAAGCTGAGTTTGGCTTCATTTGCGTATAGGTCTGGCTACCCTTACACGGTATATGTATTTCTTCTGGGCTCGGGTGGGCAGGCGCGTCCGGACTCCGAATCTTTCCACTTTCAATCATGGCTTCTTTTTTATATCTTAAAAAAAACCTGAGCCAATAAAACCACCAAAGTATCGAATACCTCCAACCCAATGCAAAGAAACTACTGATTGTCTGGCTTTCTGTTGTTTCCAGTTCTCCTGAGAAATGCCAAAAAATATCTATCCGGTAAGCCCATCATTCATGCATAGGTACCAAGGAACAGAAACATCTCTGTTGGAGACCTGCTTTGATCTGTTTTCACAGCACTCAGTCTGCTTCACTTTCTGTCAAACAAAATACAGTATCTATATCTGGCCGGCACAAAACACTCAACTTCTGTAGAAGTATGATCTCAGAAATCAACCATCTGTTTGTTTCCGAGTAGATGACCAAAAGGTTTATGTTGCTAAGCAGATCAAAATGCATAAGGAAGTTCAGTTGATTGACACAAGATTGTGATCCTGACCTTCAACTGACCGGATCTGCTATAGAACATCAAGGCTGGATATCTTAATTATCCCATAAGACCTTTTATTCCAAACTCTATGCAATGCTTCCAATGCAAGCGTTTCGGCCATTTCAAAATGTCCCATTGTGACAACCCGACGTGCACTTGATGCTCGTTGGTTGGTCGTGATAGTGATAATTGTAGCGCTGTAGCATTATGTTTAAATTGCAAGGGTGACAATCCAGCATTTTCTCGTTCTTGTCCAGAATGGAAATCAGAAAAGGAAGTACAGATGGTAAAAGTTACTAGGAACATTTCGTACGCCAAAGCCAGAAGACTAGTTCAAAATGTACAGGTTGGACCAAATACATCTTATGCAATAAGTACGCAGACTCCACCAAATAAACCCCAGCAAATTACAAACAACAACAAAAAGGAAAATCCAGCTCTATGGCACAAAGTAAAGAAATAGTAATTCCAAGCAAACCAAAAAATGTCCCTCCAAAATAGCAATAGCTCGATTGATGACAGGATCTCTGAAACTTTAGTTTCAGATAATATGGAAGTAGAGGAGGGGCTGTAAGTTCCCAAACATCTGCTTCCACGCAAAACTAAAAAGCAACGGAGGAAAATCAAACATAATGGCTACCCTCATCTCATGAAACTTTCACGGCTTTTACCAAAACCTGATGAACATTGAAGACATGATTAATGCTCATCATCCTGTATGCTTGGCAGTGCAAAAAACAAACTTGAAACTGGGACAACTAGCAAAACTTCTGAGGTTTTCTTTCGTCAGGGAAGATGATCTTGAAGGTGCATGTGCAAGTGGAGGTGTCCCACCTCACTTGACTCACCCTCAAATGCACTTCCTTTGATGTCATCCCTCCAAGTTGTCACTGTAGAAGCAAATATTCATATCATGGTCTCTGTGGTTTCTGTTTGTTTGCCTCCAAATGAGCATATTAATCAGCAGGCTTTAAATAATCTTGTGGCGCAGCTGCCTGAGCCTTTTATCATAATGGGAGATTGTAATGGCCATAATCTGCTGTGGGGAAAGCAAAGACATCAATTCATGAGGAAGACAAATTGAACAGATGATTGCTCATTGCCTTTGTCTCCTGAATAATGGGCAGGACACATACTTCCATGAACCCACAAGGACATTTTATGGTCTTGATCTGGCCATCTGTTCACCATCTCTGTTGCCATTTTGCAATTTTAGTGTTGGAAGTGATCTTTACAACAGCGATCATTATCCCATTTTTGTATCTCTTGCACGAAGAAGAGCAAACCCCATTTCGAGACTCCCTCGGTTTATACTTGACACTCTCCTTTGTGGAAAAGATGGCCGACTGATTACCTCCATGGAATATTGCAAATACTATTGGTGAGATATTTGCTGCCATTTCTTCCAGCAAAAATTATTTACCTGCATTTCTTTCCGTCAAAGAGCGCTCAGAAAGAAATCACATCTCATTCAACTTTTCCAACTTTGAGCCTTATAATAGAGATTTTACTATGTTTGACTTAAAGAGAGCTTTGTTGCAGACACATAAGTCTTCTCCAGGTCTTGATGGCGTGTATTACAAAATGCTGAAGCATCTGTCCAATGACCATCCTCATCACTGACTGGAAGACTGACCATCACACTGGGAAGTCACTGAGTACCCTTCTTACTCTTTACAATATGGACTGGAAGCAGCGAAATTTTCCCAGTGCATGGAGGAGAGCTGTTGTGATTCCTATTGCTAAGCCAGGGAAAAACCCGAGGAATCCCTCTAACTATCGGCCAATTGCCCTTAAGAGTTGTGTATGCAAGCTGTTTGAAAAAATGGTAAACAGCCGCCTAGTCTACTCCTTGGAAAAGAATAGTATTATATCTCCTTATTGAAAAGTGGTTATAGTGGTTTTCAAAAAGGAAGAACAACCACAGATAATATGCTCCTTTTGGAGGCATCCATTCAAAATGCTTTCATTAGAAAAAACCATCACCATCTTGTCTTTTTTTTTTTTTTACTTTGAGAAAGCTTATGATAAGGTGTGGAGATACGGTATACTTTGGGATCTTCCCGACTGTGGCTTGCGCGGAAACCTCTCAATTTTCATTCAGAATTTTTTTTATCGTTAGAACTTTTCAAGTAAAGATTGGCTCTGTTTTATCATTATTATTGGCTTGTTTTGAACAGGAAGAGGGTGGGCCTCAAGACTGTGTGCTTACTCTGTATTAAAATTATTTAATATAGAATATACCCTTTATTTTCTCTACTTTTCACTAAACACAAGCATGGAAATATCCAAAATGCTTCTAATATTATCGCATGGGCAGGCATTATAGAAAGGGATTTTTTTATTAATAAAGAAATTGAAAACTTACAATTTAAAAGATTCATCTATGTCTTAATGCATCATACACAGAGGTGACACCAGGCATTTACCCACCTGATGCAATCTCTGTGGATCCTAAATTCTGCTGCCTAGTGCCTTTCTAAATTCTAAAAGTTTTGCCATTTCTAAATTTGGTTGTCCGGTGTGTGACTAAATTCTAAAATTTCTGCTACACCAACTCTATAATCAGCCTTTACCATATATATTTCATATTTCTTCTGAATGTTTATATTACTAAAGAAATAAAATTAGCCACTTTTTCTATACATTCTGAATGCATTTAGTGTTTTTTAGAATAACAGAAATCCTGAATTAAATCCAAAAAATTCTAAAATGAAAAGGAAATGTGTTGAAGAAAGAAACTGAATACATAAAGAAAATTATTCTTCAAAGATATGTGCAGTTATTATTATGTAAATTACCCAATTGTTTATGATTTCAGCCTTTACTATAATTTCCAATTTCTATTTCCTCATATCATAGAGTTACTGAGCCAGATTAAATTGTATAATCTTTGACCACTAGTCAGCATTTTTAGTTTGAATTTGACTGTTCTGTAATTGTGTTACAGTGAGCTGTAATTGATTTTGTTAGCATCAGAGCATGACTTTATGTTCAAAATTCTTTTTAAATAAGAGGCTTATTGAAACCTTTGTCTGATATTGTAGTTTTTTCAGCCATAATGATATTTTTGATTCACATCTGTCGGGGGTTTTGGACTATTTAACTTTTAGCAGATCAAGTAAACTGTCATAGGTACATTGTGAAGAGGTTGAAAAGTTAGGAGATAAAGCACGCACAAACTAGCAAGAGCATTGGTTTCCATCTTGAGACAAATCTCTAATTGTTAGAAAAGATGCTTAAAGAGAAGGAAATCGATACAAACTAGCCAAAATGTTTGGGAAGGCTTCAAATTAAAATGATGGATAAATATTTTCTTGAGTGTTGTTATGTTTTGTAGCTTTGCCAACAATTTTAATGTGTAATTATCCTAATATCGTTTAAGAGTCAATGTCATAAATTACATGTATTTTAAACTGTGAAATTTTATTAGATTTTGATTTTAATAGCGCTTTTTTAACAAAATAAAATTTAATAGTGGCCGTGTAAATCCATAATGACTAAGGTTACCTAACTACCTAATTTAATAATTTATAACTAACCGCTTACCCTTAAAAATTTTCTCTACATATTAAAGCGAGTTATTGCCTTTCATTAATACTCACTGTGGTCACAAGATAAAACACAAAAATGTAAAAATTCAAGTAAAACTTATTCTTTGCATCTAGTGAGACTTAAAATAATGCAAAACAACTTCTCACCTCTGGTGTTTTAATGGCTTTTTGGAACCTTAAAGTATATTAATTGGGTTACAACACCTGGAACTCTACACGAAGCTACGACACTAACTGCACCACACAGAGCCCGACTAACTTTCAACACTTGCCAACCGTGCCTACATCAGGCCTTTCAAGTTTCTTCTAATCAGCAGGTCTCTCTCTAGACAAGCTGCAGTGGTGACAACATTCAGTCTTTTGTTTGAATCAGCTTTATACTCATTAACTTGTGGTTTGACATTAAACTTACGCCTTTAAAAACCTCTAATGATAAGTATGTGATAAAAATAAGACATTTAAAAAAAAAATTAATTAAAGGTAAAAAAAGTTTAAAAGTAAATGTTGAAATATGTCCAAAACTATATAAGTGTAAAATATTTAATGCTACTTGATGAATTGCATAAAGTTTATTTTATTCTCAAACTTATTAATAATTATGTTAATTCGTGTTTAGTAATAATGCATACTACTTGGGATCTATTTTATTTTTAGGATTATATTACAAAAGTGAAATTCAGGCATAGATAATATTTTTAATTGAATTTATTAAATCCCATTTGCTCATAGGTTCTTAATTTTCTTCATTAATGCTCCTTAAAAGTAATTAATTTCTGTGTGCAGGAATGTATACAAACCCTGATTAATGCACATTTTCTTTTTTTTTTAAAGGTAAGATTCCATAACCCACTTCATGTTGCTTTGTAGAGGGCAGGTCTCGAATTTTAATAATGTTTTAAGAATGCAGGGGAAAAATACAATAATAACAGCTAATTTATATCCTTGTTCATAAAAACAAAAAGTGGCTGATTTAGAATATTTGGGACTACATCAAATGAAATACCCATGATTTTCAGTAGATTGTGCTATTTTGGCAACAGTTTCACAGTCAGTGGCATAATAAGTGCATAAAAATTATAATTTTTTCCCATATTTTTACATGAAATATTTTGCAAATTTACAGGGATTTTTGAAGCTGAGCATCTTGTGCGTTGTGAAAGTAATATGGCTCTTTATCAAGTGGATCCTGCTAAAAGGCACAGTGTAACTGTACCATTTGAAAATCCTCCAGGTAAATGTTTTTATATATATATATATATATATATATCATTTACCTCAGTATTATTTGAGTACGAATAATGTCTAAAGCAGGGCTAACAAATTTATGCTGAAAAGATTATAACTAGCTAAATCCAGCATGATAAATAATTATTTTCTACCATAAAAGGGAGACTAATTGGTGAAAACTCATGAAATTATTGAAAGAGAGAGAATTTAGTTAAATAAAACAGTATGAGCTACAGCGTTTGCAATATATATTCAAAGATTACATGTCCATCCTGACTTTTTTCCTAGTTTATAGCATAAGACCAATTTAGCTGTCTTTTCAAAAAACCAAGAACTATATTATATTATAAATAAATGAAAAGTTAGAGATAATTCTTTCAAGTCCAGCAGTGTTTGGAGGCAGTGTTGCTGCTGTGTGAGCAAGAATTATAAAATCTGTTAATTGCAGTTGTTATGTAAATAGGTTATCATGTAGACAGTGAAACATTTATTAAAACTTCATAAAAGAAATATATACATAGAAAAAGAGCAGATCTTTCTTAAAAAGTTATGATTTAAATGATTTAAGCCTTTGAATGTTGGCTTAGATCATGAAATAATATTGTAGCACGTTCTTTCTGCTAATTGGGCAATTCAGGTCCCATGTATCTTAAGTGAAATGTATAAGCTAGACTATGATATTGAATAATAACTTAACTGAATCCACTTCTCTAAGCTTCTCTAAGATTAGCAAAAATCATTAGTGTCAGCCTTATTTCATGAGCATCTGCAACAAAAATATAATCTTTTTTTGGATTTTATCAAGTGCTGCAGTATAGTTGCAATAAGTGTTTTCCTTCTTTAAGAATTATATTATTTACTACATAAACACTCCTTTGTCATCCCTATCATCTAGTTCATTTTTTAGTAGGTAATAAAAATGATTTCTTGGAAAGAATTCTTAATTAGTTCTATTGAAAACGATCCTTTTTTTAGCCCAAAGGCATTATCCTAAAAAGGCTGTTAGCCTTGAAATGGCATTTTATGTCGAATCACGAAAAGCATTGAATCACTTTTCAGATTGTTGCCACCAAATATTATTGCCCTGTATTATATTTAAATAAATTAAGTAATAAAAGATCTGTGGAAGCCCGAATTTTGAATTTTTTTATCTATTTCATATTTTGTAAAACTTTAAGGAATTTTTTATTTGTAAACTCAACTGTTTCAAAGTGAGCAGTGGCAACAGTGTACGAAATAAAACATGCTTATCTCCAGGGCTCAGGGCTGTCTTTAAAAAATTCTAAAGATGTGCTGTTTTTAAATATTTTAAATCTAAATGCTTTCAAAACATGTATGTGTTAGCAAAAAAAAAAAAAAAAAAATAAAAAAAGAAAAAAAAAAAATAAAAAGAAAAAAAAAAGAAGAAGAAGATCCTTTGGCCGTAATGTAAAATCTGAAAGTTTTTTTTTTTTTTGGGGGGGTGGGGGGATGTACTTGTGAAAGCAAAAACAAAATGATTTTACTAATTCTGCTTTTTTACTTGAGCCAAATCTTCAACTAAATGCTTTCAAATATGCTGCAGTTTATTTAGAAAAATGTCTCCAAATAGCAAAATTTCCAAGAAATCCTCATGTGCAAGGACAAAAAAATGACTGAAGTTATTAAAGAAATAGGTATGGAAAATAAATCGTTTTTATGCTATGCTGGTGTTAAAACAGCTCCTGAGCAGACAATGCACCAGTGGCCCACTAGCTGCGGAACGGTAAAATCTCTGATCACTAGTAGTTCCGACCTAGGTTTGAATCCAGGTGAGCAGGCTGGCTGCATGTGTATGTATGTTCATGGTTTTCCCAACATGTATACAAGCCAATAACCATTAAAAAGTCTTCCACAAAGGCATCTTTCCCCTTAGACAGATAGCCCTTGAGTGCTTTACATCAGTAAACTAAACCAATGCACCAGTAATGTTAAGACTCGATTGGCATTGCAATCAGTATCTTTACCAATAATAAAGACAAATTTGCTGTTGTAGTGCTGCCGTCTGTAATGATTTTTGTGCATTTCAACTTCAATAAATGCAGATGGCTAACATAGATAACCACTACGCACTTAGAGAAATAATTATTTCTAGGTGGCTCGACTTTGTAGCCATTGCCCGCAAAAGGGTTAAATTGTTCATATTTCATTCTCCCTGTCCTAGTCATCTTCAGCATAAATTTTCTTATAAAATTTAATTTCATCTGAATTATCTTAATTTACTGTAGTATTTATAGAATTTTATATGAAGATTCAACAAATATTTAATCATTAAATATGTGTATTTAATTTTGTTTTACATATTATTCTAAGTTTATGCCCAGAATAATATGTATATTAATTGTTAATTTTCACCATGTTTAAAAGTTCTGTAAAACAAAAAGTTTTCCATTCCTACTCAGAATTTTCTTAGCAAGAAGTGTAAGTAAATTGCAAAATAAAATTAGCTTAAGTACATAAAATTTGAAATATAATTAATAACCCTAATAAGTTAAAAATTTAGAGGCAATAAGAGATTGTTGCATCCAAAACCCTTGGAAGTCAATATAAGAGGTGTGCAGGCAGTTAAAATTTGCAAGTTTATCTGCTCATGTATATGAGGTTCAGATGTTGAAAAACGTTGAGCGAGATGATAAAAAAATATTACTTTATCGGTAACATTCTGCGGAAGGTTGATAGCAATCCAGAATTGCTGTCAATAAGTTTCTCAGGTAAGATGACTTCCCATTTGTTGAGTTGTATTAGCAGATAAATGTGAGATTATATGGAGTTGTAAGAACACAGGTATGCATATCTCAGAGAACTTCCCATTTTTTAGGTTGTATTAACAGATACAATGTGAGAGTATAGATATATGAGAATCCACGTATGTATATAGAATATCTTTGAGTAGGATCTGATTTAGATTTGACAATATCCTAAGCTATTTGAGATATGGGGCCCTTTATGAGGGATATGAGTCACATTTTTTTATATGGGATGTGGTACAATTTTAGGGGATCCCTAAGCTATAGCTTGGGCAGCACTGTTTGTGATATAGTCTAAAATTGAATGTATTGTGTGTTTGCCACAAGATGGAGTTATGAGCTTATTCTGTTTTAAGGAAAAAACAGCAATAGAAGGGATATTTTAAAACATCCTATAAAAACCTGCGAATCTGCATTTGTGTTGTGTGTAATCAATAATGATTTCACAGAAGTGGTCCTTCTGCATTGGAACTGACAGGTTAGAGAATTTCCTAAAACTTTAGATTAAACAGGAAAACCAGGTTTTTGGTCACCATGTTATCCCTCGGTACTTTCTTATCAAAGACGCCATATATTTATTCAAAAAGTCATTCTAAATCATAGTATGTAGAGCATTTGCTGCTTTACTTTGGATCACTACAGTCAAAAGTCGTTAATCTGGGCACCCATAATCCGGACCTCAAAGCTACAAACTTTCTGCGCATGCGTCAATGCATAATGCGTTCACGCATGTGCGTAGGCTTTTACGCATGCACATAATACATTTGCGCATGTGCGTTTAATATATAATGGGCGGTATAAGCTAAGCTAAAGTTATCTAATTATCTATTTCAGTTAATGTTGCAGATTGCGTTGTTCCTTAATCTTTGAATTGGATCAGGCTTATTATTTTTTGCAGACTGTTAGAGCAATTTTATAAAAGTAAGCTTGAACTTTCGATTATGTCAAATAGAATTTCCAATGCTGGAGCTGCCAAAGGATCTACAAAGCGAAAGTATGTTTCGATGTCCATCAAACAAAAAGTGGAATTGCTGCAAAAAAATGGATAAAAGCATATTCTTTGTTTCTCTAACCATTCCGAAATCTGTTTATCAATTTCACGCTGCTCTGCGGGGGAGGGGGTTTGTGTACGCCGCAGCGCGCAATGAATTGGAAGTTGATCTGTCATCACTATTCTTATCTTCAGAGCAGATGTTTTTATTTTATTCGGCTTATAATTCCTTACTAAATGTAGTATTTCATCTCGATGTACTCCGCTTTTGATATGATTTAAATCAAATTCCTCGTCATTATAAATATCATGAATACAAATCAAATAGTTTTCTGGTTCCAATTTTCTAATTTTGACTATGCGTAATGTATGCTTTATGCATGCGCGCGTTTAAAGAAATGTTTAGTAAAGTACACAAATAAATATAAAGCTGCTTTTTTTTTTTTTTTTTTTTTTTTTTTTTTTTTTTTTTTGTAAATTTTGATACCCTTTAGGTCATAATTGTTCTTTATCATAAATTACGGTTTCATATTTTTAGTTTTATAATTTCTGCATGCCATCTTACCAGATTTAAGCTGATGATATATGATGCGGAAAAATCAATAATCCGGAATCGCCGAAGTCTCGACGAGTTGGATTAAAGACTTTTAACTGTAGTTAAATTTTTCATATTGGGCCATCTATAGGAATAGTTTTCCACTTTTATCCTTTAATGACATATTTCTTTTTGTTTGTAGGCAGATAGCCCTCGAATCTTTTGTCATAATCAAATAAAACCAATCCCCCCCCAAAAAAAAATTTTTGTTTGCCTTAGTCTTTTACTTTAATCTCTCTGCAGAGTTATTTCAGTGAAAATGACTTCTGTGACTTTCTGTGACCATATTATTATAAGCCATGTGTTAAATAGATATTCAAAGAAGGATGATTGCAAGGATAGACAGACAACTGGAGAATCAGACTAGAACAAAAAAAATTTAAAAATGATTAAATTAAAGTTCTATATACCGTGGAGAGTTCTTGCTTTTGAGTACCCACTATCTGAGATCAAGCAAGCATTAAATTAAAGTTAAGATAGGTGATCTACAAGAATTGGAGGATTATATTTGAAATGCTATTGCTTCTATAAGTATGGAAAGAGATAGAATATTGGTTGGATAGTCACCATGCAGTGAGCGAAGCTCATACAGAGTTGAAATTGCTTCTAGTAAAACTTGTTGATTTTACTTTCAAAATTTTGGTGTCTGCTTCAATCTGTTTTTTACCATATTGAAAACAGCCCATGTTTTAGTTCTGTTTCAGACACACTGTATATTGTCAATTTTTAATCACAAGAAAGTTCCCCCCCCCTTTTTTTTTAAACAAGTATTTCTCCCATGATTTTATCTAAGCCAGTATTTCTAAAGATCAGAAGTATGAATAAAGGAATTTTAATGATTAATCGAACTGTTAGGTTTGTCTATTTATTTTTTAGCATATTCATTTCCTGGTAAAGATGACATGACTTCATGTGTATTGAGGCTAGTTCAGTAATTTCAAGTATCAGTCTAAAATAATGTGCTTTTTTAAGAAATGTTATTTATTAATTTTTTGGTTCTATAGCATTGCTACTACAAAATAAATTTTTCTATTAAAAGCCATGAGATTCTTTTAAGTGTAATTTTTTTTTTTTTATTTTTGCTGATTTTAGCTGGCCAGTTGTTTTCAACATATATTTATAAATTTGTTTGCTTTGGTTCTTGTGCTGGTGGACCTAACAGAAGACCTTTAATTCTGGTTTTTACTCTAGAGAAAGGGTTTGTATTAATTTTTACTACATAATTTCCTAATCTTTTTTGGTTTACTGCCCCATTTGATTTCATTTAATGATATGTTTGGTATGTTTTGAATATGTCTGTGGGTACTAAAAGTGTATAAAATTTAATTTCTATGTATTTATTGCAGTTCATCGAATAATTACTGATATTCATTTTTCATTATGGATATAGAATGAAAATGATTAAAGATTTCTTGAAGCATTTGTAAACCTGACAAACCATTTGTAGATTCCTGCATAATACACAGTGGTACACATATGTTGAAACTATTCTGAATATCAGATTTGCAGCGTTGTTTTTAGAAAATTAAAATGTTCATTTATAAATTTGTTCCTTTATTAGCATATGTAAAGGGTTGCTTGACATTTTTTGGTATGATTCCCATAAAATATCCCCAACCAAATTTCCAAGCCTTTATAATTCATGTGCTTTCCATTCCTCCGTATTCACCCTTACACTAATAACAGTGCTCTTTATTGGGCAATATCATTCATGGCAAGAAACTATGCTATAGTATGCAAAACGGGTTCGAAAGTTACTAAAGTTACTTCATGGTTTTTTTGGGGGAGGAGTAGAAGGATTAAATTTTAAAGTTTTGGGGGTACAAATGCATTTGCTAATCTCTCTTTAAACTTTTCAATCATATCACACTGAAAGTGTATTTTTATAAAATTTAATCGTGTATTATTATTAGTTGACTGTTGCTTTTAAAGTGGCATGCTTGTGCTATGTTCTGTAGATTTCGTGTAAATGTTATGCTGTGAAATATAAACTCTGAACTAGATATCCTTTTCCCCCATTTCTTTCACCATATTATAATATCATGATATTCATTATTCTTAATGATGTTTGATATTATTTTATGCTGATTTCAAAATAATATTTCATAAACTTCTCTCTAAAAAGTTTAATTATAGAAAATCAGTGCAACCACTTGTGTCATTTAAGTAGTACAGTGTTTGCACAGTCTTTAAGCTTTTTGGAAGTGATTTTATTTCTGAAGAGTCCCTTACTTTAGCCAAAATTTTCACATTTGCCATATTTATTCCTTTCCTGTGACTGCCATTCCTGAGTGTGAATTAACATTTTGGTTGCACGTGGAATTCAAATTGCATGGCTCATAATGCAGTCATCTGAAACTGGCATTGGTAACAGCAAGGAACAATCAGCCATTCCAGATTTAAAAGTTCTGTACAATCTTTAAAAATGCATTACCCACAAGAATTGCCTGTCTGCATTGAAAATAAGTTTCATGGGCTTTCATGGGCTCGTGGGCATTCTTTGGCATACTCTGATGAAAGTGAACTTCTAAGATATTCAAAGCGTTAACTTTGTATGGGCATGGCCAACAATAGAAATGACCGCATACTCTTGGTGTGATGTCACAAACTCTGTCTGAACTCAACTCTTCCAACCTGATACTTGAACTTCATCATCGTGCTTTCTTACATCAGTTTTTAACTGCTTTATAGATACCAATATGTGATCATTTTATTTCTGTGACCATATTTATGCATTGATTAGAAAATTTTAGAAAATGCCAATTTAAATTGCAAAACATAATTGGTAAAATAGTGTCAATACATGTTTATTAACTTTTGTAGATTTTTTTTCTTACATAATGTGATTAATTAAGTATCATGCATTCCTTCATTTCTGCTTTCATTACCCACAAATTTATATTCTCAAAGCATTGGATATTTAAAAATTAATTAAAAGATATTTGTCACAAGATGTTCTTGATGAGTTTTGTAGAATATGTATAGAAATATTCTTTTGTTAAAATAAGGAAACAACACAAATTAACAAAGCACAAATCAATAGCATAAACTTTTTTTCCATAAAAAAAAATTAATTATCTTGCAGGAAAATTCCACATAGCATACATTCTAATGGTTTGAAAATAAGGAAATATAAGAACTGAAAAATAAATTGTAATTATATAAAGGGAGAGTGTATCTGAAAAATAAATTGTAATATAATTATACAAAAGAGAGGGTATAATAAATTACATACAGGCAAAAAATATATTGGGCAGTTTCAGATATATAAAATAAAAAATTTAAAATGTTTTTTATTTGATTTTCAACCGTGCACACTATAAGTGTATTAGTATTATATCTTCATGATAACAAAGGAGCAAGCAATCTATTTCCTAGTTTTATTTTCAACCTAAATCAAACAACTGGATGTTAGACATGTAGTTTTAAAAGATTCTCATGCCTTTGATATGTAAGCATAGCTTTATTTTTTATGCTGCCAGTAGCATGACTATGATTACATTAATATAAACTGTTCTTATAATTTAAATGTGTACCCCCAATATTGCTTTTAAGGTTTTAAATAGTTTTAAGGCAGACACTTCAAACATTCAACTTTTACCACCAATACAAAACACTTTTTATATTAGTTTTTCAGACATTTATAAATATAATTACTATGTTAAAAATATACCTTCATGGATGTAAATAAGCAGGTATTTACATCATAAATAAAACTTCTAATAATAAATTTATCATTTGAAAGAGTCTTAATGTGATTAATGAATATCCAAAACAGGGAAAAGCATAGAAAACCCAGATAATATCAGAATCAAAATTGTTATCAATTTCCTAAAAATCATGCAACCGAACATGCCACATATAATTTAAAAAGATCCTTATTGATAGGTTTTCAGATTTTACTTATAGAAACAAAACAGGCTTGAATAAATGCACATAAACTAAATTTTAACAATGAATACACTATTTGAAAGACCCTTATTGCCATTAACTAATTTCCAAAACATTTCTTTAACACAGCATAAACCTTGAAACACTGAGATTGTAGCAGAATCAAATTTGTGATTAACTTGATAGGAAGCATGATAAAAATTATTTTTAAATTCAAAGGCTATAATTACATGTATTAAGTAAATAAGTAAGCAATTATTATTATTTTTTTCTTTTTTTACTTCATTCTCAGAAACATTATGGAAGTAACTAAATTCTAATTAACAAGCATTTTAATCTATAAAGTACCACTCTGAGGGATTTTAATGTCATAAACTTATAACAAAAACACTCTTCAATAGTTCAAGGAGTTCTAAGCATCCAGATTATACAGTGATTACATGTATGATTAAGTTCACATTAACCAAATATTTTAAATTTAGATGCATACTTTTGAAAAGGGTCTTATGACTTGAATGAGTAACTGCAGTAACTATTTTTATTGCTGCAAAGGCCTTAAATGCCAAGATTTTATTTTAAAATATTTTTTACTTGAATTATTGTTTCTTGTAAGATAAATAAAACAAAAATAATTTTTTAAGTCTTGCACAATGAAAATATTTAAATTCTTTTATAAGTTTAATTTATGAAGCACACCACTTTGTTTTATGTTCCTCTTTATATACTTAAATGAAAAAAAATTTCAAATTTTTATTGTTTATAGTACAGTACAAAGTCCGTAATCCGAACGTCCATTATCCGTAATGATCTATAATCCGGACCTCAAAGCCACAATCTTTTTTTTTTTTTTTTTTTTTTTTTTTGTATGCTTTATGCATACGCGTAAAAGAATGCGCGTACATTACGCATCCTATACTTCAACAGTTAAAACACCTTGGTTTGTTACTCTTATTACATATATCGTGTGCTTTATTTTGTGTGTTAGTACTAGAATAACCCTTATTCTTCATATGTGGAATGCAGATTTTGTCATAAATTTTTTATTTCGCTTTGAATTCAGAAATAATTTTACACAAATACAAAATAATTTTCTTACTACTATGATCGGGTATCCCATTGATTTCATAATCAAGAATTGATGAAACATCAACAGAGCCGCGACTGGCTACTTCACGCATGGCAATTAAATATTCGGAAAGGGATTCACCAGGTTTTAAGTGTCGTTTAAGTCCAGACATAATTTATATGAACCACATTTTTTTCCTACTTAGCACGATATTACTTAATCAGAACAGCTTGGCCTAATGATTGGTTTCTCTAACCACTCCGAAATCTGTTTATCAATTTCATGTGGCTCTGCGGAAGGGGGGGGGACGATGCGGCACGCAATGAACTGGAAGTTGATCTGTCAGCACTACCCTTATCTTCAGGGCAGATGTTTTTATTTTATTCGGCTTATAATCCTTACTAAGTGTGGTATTTCATCTCAATGTACTTCATCTTTGATATGATTTAAATCAATTTTCTCGTAATTATAAATATCAAGAATACACATAAAATAGTTTTCTGGTTGCAATTTTCTAATTTCGACTATGCATAATGTATGCTTTACCCATGCGCACGTTGAAAGAAATGTTTAATAAAGTAAGCAAATAAATATTAAGCTTTTTTTTTTGTAAAATTTGATACCCTTTTGATCATAATTGCTCTTTATTTCATAAATTATAGTTTCATAATTTTAATTATATAATTTCTGCATGCCATCTTACCAGATTTAAATTGAGCTATAGTTCAGAAAAAACCCTAATCCGGAATCACCGAAGTCCCGACGAGTCCGGATTATGAACTTTGTACTGTATAATAAATTTTGTTTTAATGAGACTATTTCAACACTGCAAAGAATTTGAATCTCTAATTCATATGATAGTTTAAGAAATTTTGATTTTAAACATACCATTAAATAAAAACCATACCATCCAAATATTGTTCAAGCATATATTAAGAAAATTTTGATGGCACTTGTGGTTTTTCTTTGTACAGCAAATTAGGAGCACAACATGCTTCATTAATATGTGCTGTATCATTAATTTTCAGAAGAGACTCAGTAATTTTTATAAGAAGCTTATGCTGCTTCCCGTTCTAGTGAATAAAATACTTCTTATACTTTTCAGATATAATAGTCTGGAAACCAAGGTTTCTGATTTTGAAAGCTTTTCAGGTCTACTTGTTCTTGCAGTAAGTTTGTTTTCTCTCAGATATTTGGGGAAGTTAGTAAACACAGATAAGTAAACATTTCATTCATTGTCA